ACCCGTCGGGTGACCCGGGTGGGTGACATTTTTAAGTTGACCCGATTTCCACCCGGGTGACTTATTGTCCACCCGACAGGTGACCCGGGTGAAGGTTTTAAAGACAGGTCAAATCACTAGTCCCGGCAATTACTCAATATCACATAAATGATTGGATTAAACGTTATGGAATATTATCATTAATTTTTAGAAATAATCCGGCGGTGACAGTACCCAGATTTTAGTGTTAAATTTAGGGTTAGAAAAGATCATAATATATGAGTGAGCGAGGGGGAAAGGTGTAAGTAACAAAATATTCTACGATTTTGACCAATCAAATTTTAAGATCATTCTGATCTTAAAATTTGATTGGTCAAAATCGTACAATATTTTGTGTTACTTACACCTTTTCCCCTCGCTCACTCATATGTAATCACCCTCCGACAGTTTCCGATCGGGCTAATTCGGACCATTTTGAATACACGGTTCTTATTTACATGTAAATCATTTTTTGTTATTGATTCAATAGCTTATCGAATGAACGTTTGAATCAATAAAGGCCAAAATAATTTACATGCAAATAAGTACTGATATATTGGTTTGAATTTGTCCGAATTAGCCCAATCGGAAAATGTCGAAGGGTGAGTTTCCTAGCAAATGTCCCATATAGTAAATTACGCAAGAAATATTTTTTGTTAAGACTCGGAGGTTGGTTTCTTAGGCATAATTTTGAGTTATTTGAAATTTTCGAGGTTTTTGAATCGTGCGACAAATAGATTCGCCCTAATTTTTAAAATCAAAAAATTTCGCCTGTATAGTTGATTGTTTACCAGACTCAGCACTAATCAGAAACATATATAATGCGTAACAGTAACGGTAAGTAAATTTAATTGTTTTCAGTCAGTCAGGGCTGAGTATGGTAAATACTAATAAATAATAAACTTGAAAGCTTGGTCCCTTGTCGTCCTTCATATATTCAGAATTCGGCCAAATGGCCCACTTATGAAAACATACATTTAAGATCAATTAACTTATCATTATGAAAGTGTAGTTTTGTGAATGAAATTCCAATTCACTATCGATTCTTTTTGACAAAATAAAATCTTAAATTTTCGCCACGACAATTATACTAAACCTCAACTGCTAACGCTAGCACTAAACAACCAAGCTAAATAATCCACAAACTGTCATGATTCTAAATAAAAACACCTAACGCATAGACAAGCACAAAACTTGTTTGCTATTTTTTAGAATGTACTCCATTAAAAATTATGAACACAAGATATGGTGGAGTAGCAAATAGTGACACTGTTTTTAACACTTTCTTCAAAGGCTTCTTTTCCCATAGAATTCACAAAGGGTGTGTCCTAAGAACATCAACTTTAACGCATTCAGAATAATGTGCTTTAAAATAATTTCATGTCTATATTATTCAGGCTAACCGTATAATGGCTGATAATAGTGGTATTCACCATGGCAAACAAACTGGTCCATCTCATTTTGGCGCTACCGACATTCCTCTTCCTACATCAAATACAGATGATTTTCAAACAGTTTATGTTAATCCTAAGAGTTTTGGATATTTTAAATTCAAACTACGGGGGGCTTTTGCTGAATTATTGGGCACTTTTGTCTTTGTCACATTCGGCATTGGTAGCATTGCCCAGGCCAAGCTCGGAGACGGTTATGGAAATTGGATTACGATTTCATTCGGATTTGGTCTTGGGTTAGCTTTTGGCCTTGTTATTTCCGAAAGAATGTCGGTAAGTCTATTAACATTAGATATTCTATTAGATTTAAAGAATATTCTGATTGGTGCATCATAAAATTCAGGGAGGTCATTTGAATCCTGCTGTAACAATTTCTCTAGCTGTCCATCGTTATTTCTCGTGGCGTAAGGTTCCTATTTATATCCTTGCTCAAATCACTGGAGCCTTTTTAGCTGCAGCGGTAGTTTTTCTAAATTATCATACTGCAATTGTTGAATTTGGTGGTGGCAAGCTTAGTGTTAAAGGTAGGTAATCTCACTTTGTAGTGATGGTCATTTGATAATTTGCCACGTACATACGTGCGTGCGTACGTACATACTTATAGTTGTCGGTAAAATTCTTGGTAATTTGAATATAATTAAGTTTAAAGTTGAGATTTGGGGAAGGATTTTAGTTTGGTCAGCAAGCATATACCTGTATTAATTTGTTGATATTACAGGAAGCAATGCCACTGCTGGTATTTTTGCTACTTATCCACAGGAGTTCATGAGTATTGGTGGCGCTTTTTTTTCCGAAGCTATTGGAACATTCTTCCTACTCTTGATCATTTTGGCTGTTACCGATGAACGGAATTCAAATATTAAAATACTTCTTCCAATAATCGTTGGCTTGTCTCTTACCACGATTGGAATCTCTCTCGGATATGAAACCGGTTTTAGTTTAAACGGGGCGCGTGACTTCGGTCCAAGATTATTTACTCTTTTATGTGGATATGGCGTTGAAGTTTTTTCAGCATATAACTTCTATTTCTGGATTCCACT